CACAAAGACTGTAATGTAAGGATGATTTTTTATCCTTTCAAAATAGGGATTTAACACAAACAGCTTAATAGATGGAGTGCTTCTACAAAACTAAACAGCTGTATGGCTAGTTGCTATAAGCTGGTCCAGGTAAAGCTTAATGAACTACACTAGTGTCATAATTTCGGAAAGCTTGGTAATCTTTTTTAAAAATCTTTTATCTAGATTTTACCCCCCATTAATATGTTTAAGGCAGTCCTGCAGACCATCTTTGCAAGTCATTTGACTGCCTGCAGTTTCTCAATGGTTAGTCAAATCAGTCTCTCTCTATAGAGATTCTCAGTAAATTGAGGCTTACATTGACTGTCTAGATGCTTGTTCACCATTCACTAAATCAGTAGTTTAAAAGCTACTTACATGTCAAAACCTTCAAACTAGCTCAGAAAAAATTTTGGTAAAGTCCAGCATTAAACAGGAAGGAGAAAGGTAGTTTACTGTCAGTTTATTAATTATCATCTGCTTAAGCATGACTTAAAATTTGATCAAACTTTGTGGTGATTTTCAGTTAAAAGATGAATGTGGTATGATTTATAGGTAAAGCATCCACATTTTGAGTTTTTTGATGAAAGTGGTATAATAGAATATGCTATATGAGCTACCTGAGTCTGTCACTTATTTGCCAGATCTTGTCTGTGTGCTTGTTGGAAGCAGTTCATCCCTGGTAAGGGGGAAAACATTAGGCAAAACCACCTTGCCTACTAGATATTCCACTGTAGTGATTGCAGCAAGAGTGTTTTTCAAGTGAAATCCCTTTAGTGTCTTTAGAACTTTAGTGTCTTTTTTGCAGTGTAACTTGATGGCTGTAGAACCTCTTTGAATGTAGCTGAGTAGCGTTTGACTGTACCTCCAGTAAGAGCACCTTGATTAATACTTCATCTATCATTTCACTAACTTATAGTGATTTAGGAGTGATGCTATCTGTGCAAGTAAGGGGAATCTAAAAATTTAAAAAGCGCTACTTGTGGACAATATGCAGTATAAGCATCTTCCATTAAGAATCAATAAATACATAAATAGACCTTTCAAGTCTGCCAACAGTTAGGGCCTATCTCATGCTTTGCCATATATGTACGTGTACTCTGCTTTTTCAGAATGATGTTGTAGTCCCTCTCTCCTGACCCTGTATATAACTAGCTGACGTTGTCTGTTGACCAGTTAAACCCTTGGAGTGGGGTCTTGCAGACAAGCGAGAGGCTACAGCGCTATGCCTCCTAATAGGGCCTGCCCTGAAACAAACTTTGCTAGTGACTACATTTCCTGCTTGCATACTGCGTCACAGAACGGGTACCCTCCCTCCATCCTGACAACTTACCCGCTGGGTGAAGTCTCACATAGTAGATATACATCCAGCTTATTGTCTGAAACTGTAGAATAATAGTAGGATAGTGACTTTCCTTACAGGGAACATTATTTTGGAGGTTTCTCTATGTTCAGCTAATGGGAGAACCTTGAAAATCGTCTTTCAAAAAAAAAAAAAAAGTTACGTACTCTAGACCAAACTTTATGCCAGTGAAGTCAAACCTGTAATCACTGTCACACTCAATTGTGCCATGACACCTGAGAATCATTGTTGATAATATATATGGAATATAATTGATGTATTATTGTACAGTTTTAACCTGGGTAGTCTCACTAATCTACATTTGGTCTTCACATTCCAGTAATGTATTTGATCTGGCAGAAAGTGCAAAGTATCTGCTTGTTATCTACATGAGAAAATTAATAAAGTATACATGCAAAATATGAAGCTAAGCCTTTCCCAATGTAAAAGCTGAATGAATGAATGAATGAAGTAATTTCCTTATCTGTTTCAGATGATGCAATATGAAGATTTTTTCATGATGCAATAAGAGCTCTTTTTGTGAGTCAGTGGTCGTGGGCTTCCAATAGTTGCGGTAATGCTCACTGTTCAGAAGATAATGGGTTACTGATATCACACCTCTCTGTCAAAAGTGCCTTCTTCTGCCCACAGAATGCTATGCAAAAATTCAGAAGTGAATATTACAGCTGTGACTAGAGTCAGTCTTCAATATGGTTATAGACTAGAATGCTCACACTTTCAAGCATATTTTAGCCCTTTAAACACAAAAGGGATGAAACATTTTTGTCTTCAATTTTCCCCTTTCTTGCACGAATAAAAACTGTTGACAAAAGGCAGTCTTATTTGAGGCTATCAATTTTCAGTCGTATAATTCAACATCATTTCTATCATTTTTTTTCATATAGAGGGAGTTTTTCTGTACTCTTTTACTAGTCATAAAGGCTGCATTGGATTTAAGTGGACCTATTAGGTCAACAGTTCTGGAGTTGGAGAAATAGTTTTATGGTCTACTGAAAAAAGAGTTTTACATGGAAATTAAATACAAGAACTAGGGCTGGAAAATGTAAGGCCATGGCACAAAGTGAAACATACCTGTACGAGCCAAGGACAGAACACTAGCCACTTTTAATTTCCTGACTTTTGCTAGTTTGTATTTCAGTCTCCTTATTTAAATGTTCCTTTCACCTGTATTTTTATAACTTATTTGGAGGGATATATTAGCCAGCTTTTCAGCTACTGTATGCTGACACCAGTTAGCCACGTGCTTCTTTGTCTTTTAGTGAAACTCAAGATTCTTAGATGTACGTTGTATTATTTTTCATGATTTGTAGTATAGGCAGGAGAGACTGGCTTGACTCTTTTTGATGCCTTGTGCATATTAAGTTTCATTGCCCAGTGTGTGGGAATGCAGACAGAATTTACCAGCTCATTAACCTCCTTAAATTGGCTGCAGAATGGATTATTTCCTGTCGCCATCACAGGTCAGTGGATGGCTTATGCCCCGATGGACTCTTCATAGAACATTTGAAAAATGTTAGGTTACCACCGCATTGATTGCTTGGCATGATTTTTTTCCCCCATTTGCCTACTGGGGGGACAGGGATAAAAAAAAGACAATGAGTTACGGTGGTCACTGCTCTAAAGTCAGGAAAGGCAAATGTTGTCTAAGAAAACCCTCGTGGTTGATACTGTTCCTCTGCAAGTTGAAACATTTTATACGCGTCTAGCACATTTTCAGGACACTGTTCATTAAGCACAATATATTTTTGGACCATGATTAAGCACTTATGATATGGGTACTTGAACACTGGTCAGCGTCTTTTCCAGACCTGTGCTTAGGTTCTGACAGCAATGTCAGGAAGGATGGTCTTTGCTTGTCCAACTGTCCAAAGTAGTGCTTTACCCATCACAAAATCCATATGTATCTCATAGAAGAAATTCGCAGACATTATTCACTTAATAGTGTACTCTCGCAAGGCTGGCACCATCATTCTTCAGAATTTGTACCAGTGATGTTACACTCACCCAGTCATGGAAATTTGGATAAGTGGGTAATTTTGGTGTTCAAGTGAGCATTTTCAGCCAAGTAGAATGTGTCGTGAGAAAGAGCTTAAAACACTAGAAGGCTGATTTTGGTTGTGTTAACCGCAACTGGGTACTCAGAAAGCTTTCTTTGTTTTTGTACCCGAGTAATCACCATGTAAAGAGCATGTTATTTCTGTGAGGTTAGCAACAGATACCTCTGCGTGGTTTTGGAACTTCTAAAGTCTACAAGACTATTGCCAAAATCAGTTGCAACCTATCAGGACTGCTGTGAGAGCAGACACTAATACTGCAACAATTGAATATTACTTCCCTATACACGTGGGCAGCACATACAGGAAACTTGCTTATATGTAGCTAAATGCTAAGAGATATCATGAGTCCCGAAGTTAACAGATCACAAAGCCCTTCAAACTAGTGGCTAGCACTGTACAGGCTATAGGGCTGTTGGGAAAAGATATGAGTCAGCTTGCAGGATTATAAATTATAGACCTTTCAGATCAATCATGTGGCCTCTTGATATAGTGTAACTTCAAGATTGTAGAATGCATCAAGATGATTCAGTTCTGCATTGTGCACTTCAGAAATGAAATAGGTTAATATGTGATATCTAATATGTGACATCTGATGAACTTGTCACAAATAATAGACCTCTGCTGTCCAGGATTTTTACCTGAAGGAATGTGCTTGCTTTGTTCACGTCACTGAAAACCATAGTACAAATGACAAACTTGAACCTAAATTTTAAAGGTATTTTTCAAGGTGCCTTGGCGGGGGGTGGGAAGGGGGGAAGGCTTGCTTTACTGAATGTTGTTTACAGAAACAAACACTTTATTTTGTGGTAGTATGTATACTGAATATAGCTTTTCCTCCGGAATGGTTTTCCATTGGTGGCTGCTCATTTTAAGTGATCTGGTGACTAAGCTGCTCTTCTCATAAATTTTTACAGCTTCATGCTACTCCAAGTTACAAATCTAGGTCCCAGTTTATCAGAGCACTCAAACACCTGTGCCAATGCCTTAGACATAGCTTAAAATTAATTGATCTGATAAATGGATACTTACGACTGTAACCCAAAGTTACTATACTGATGTTCTGTGTTATTGGCATAAGGCTAGGATTTTAGCCAGAGCTCCAAAGGATGTATAATTGGATATCTCTTTTTTTTTTTTTTTCCTGGCTCTAACATGTCTTCAGTATGTTATTATTATGCACTAGATATTATAATCTTTATATTTACTTCATAGCTCTGTTTTGAATTCTAAATGTCGCACCCAGGATATATTATTTTTCAGTTATTAAGAAAAGCACTGAATTTAACTGTAACTGTCTCATCCTGTCCATGTATTATTTTTATTTAAATTTTATTTCTCAGTCAGATCCTAATAACATTGGAACTTGTTTTTTCAAATTTACTAGTGATTTTTTTTGCTTGTACAGGCTGAAGAAATGTGCATTCATGCCTTCCATTAACCCCAATTTTATGCATCAGTATTGTTTGAAAATTCTTAGTCTTTGATCCATTACTTTGTTTTTAATGTACTGTATCATATTACAATTTGCATCATTTTATCTGATTTTCTTTTCTTTAATTCAGGGTTGGGAAGAAACTGTGGATGCTGCCATTTCTTACTTATTAAGAACGTGTTTATCTAAGAGTCCTAAGGAACAGGCCATGACTCTCACCAACCAGTTGTGCATGCCCAAAGATACTAGTAGGCTGAAGAAGCATATCACTCTCCTCTGTGATAGATTGGCCAAAGGTGGTCGCCTTTCCTTAAGTACAGAGACAGCCGCTCAGCAAACTGTTGTCGTGCCAGGTAAGAGATGAAGTATATGTTCGTAATTCAGAATGTGTATGTTACAGTTAAGAATAATGTACATTTGATTGTGTTTAGAGTTTATGTTATATGAATAGACAGATAATTATTTTTGATTTCCAGTCAGAAATTACAGAATAATCTGGAATTTTTACATAATTTTGACATTGTGTATTTTCAGTAGAGTTGCTCTCTTTTTCTGTGGTATTAAATATCAGGAGTGATATGACACATTTTGTTTCTGTTCTAACCAGTAGTATGAGTTAGGTAACAACATAATTTTAAATGTAAATTTTATCTGAAGTCGATCACTTACTACTCTTTTTACAGCAATATGTACTAATGCAGCAAAAGTACCCCAGACAGTCATTATGCTCTAAAAACTATACATCTTATTTCTTTGTACTTTTCAATTGAATGTACATATGTATATGTGCATTTTATATAACACATGTGATGGAACAGTGAGGAGTGAAAAGATGTGCTATGTCTTTGACAGAGAAATCATTGTGGCTGTATGACCCATTTCATGGCATATGCCTACGACTAATTACAAAGTAATCATAACATTGAATACAAAAATCTGCAATTTTTAGAAAGTGCCAGTCAGTAGGTGTTATCTCACAGAAAGCCTGAAATAAAAGATCAAACTAATTTAAACAGGTGTTGAAATCTATTTCTCATTTGGAAAATGAACATTGAGAATATTTTTGGAGCATTGCACAATGATTTAAATGAATGTCATGGAATGATTTAAAAAATATATATGTTATTCAAGTTCTTTTTTATATTCACACTATTTAATGACTGTAGGCAGCTCTTTTTTTCAGAGTCCGAAGGCTAGCATCTTTGTACTGTTGAAGAAATTTTCTTCCTGTGTTTTTTCCCCATGGGCCAATTAAGCTCTCCAAAAATATCAGACTCTCCTGATGACTTGGAAACACTGTATTTTTCCAGCTTCTGTCTCTGGGTTAGGTTGGGAAGTTCCTTCAGCTCCATAGTCTCCCAGACCATATAATCTCACTGGGGTCTTTGGCTTCAATGACTTCCTTCACCCACAACAGCCTTCACACCTGTAGGTGTGTATGTGCACTTAATGCTTAAAATTAGGAGTTTAGTATATTGTCTTCACTGGTGTTGTTTTTGATCAAGATTGTTTGGAGTTGTTTTAATTGTAATTTCCTATATATTATTTTCTTACGTTACGATCAATAGTTTAATTGCTGGTTAACATAATCTGAATGGCTTGTGCAATGTTTCAGCAACTCATTTAGAAGTCCTTGATTCTTAGTATGTATAGCCCTTCTTTGCAAGTGCTAATTGAAGTGCTTAGGTAAAATGACTTCAGACTATTCAGTGACAGAAACTATTTTATTTAAATAATTTCTCTAAGTGTTATGCTATACTCATATCTGAAAATGGATTTATAATCACATGAATTGAAGAAGTGAGCCAGAATAAGTAGCACATTAAATTTACAAATGTTGTTGGTATTTCTTTGCAAGAATTTAATTCCCCCTAAAATACATGTCAAGTGTTATTTCATTTGTTAAGCTTAGAAAAGATTATATAGTCATTATTTTCCCTTCTAAATATTTTGAGAAGGTGTAAATAGATGCAGTTTATCTTTTTCCTCCCAAATTAAGCAATAAAGTGAAATGATATAATATGAAAATTCAGTTCTGCGTGTTGAGTAGTCTCACTGAGTTCAGTAGGACTGCTCACTTTAGCCATGACTAATTCTGATAGGAAGAGGGTAAAATTTCTAAAAAGTGTGAACAACCCAGAAGAAATCTTGCTCTTGATGAGGGACCTCGAGAAGGCAGTCTGGTCATGCTCTCCATGTTGTATACATTAAAAGACAAAATTCAAAAAATTTTAAATCCACTCTTTTCTGCTACATGAGGCCAAAATACCAAGAAGGCATGAATGACGTACTAGAGGTTTTTTTTTCACGTTGTGGTACAGGTAGACAGCTATATTACCAAGGCAAAACATAAGAAATTCGGCTGTGGGCACTGAGCCGTGTATTGATTAAATGTGGATCAGTGTTAACAGGTTTCATATGATGAATAGTAAAAAATTAAGCAGCTGGTTGAGACTTGGCATAGCAATGTCCCACCCAACATAAACTGTTTTAGCTATACATGAAATGCCCTTTGGTCATGATTTACACTAAAAAGAATTAAAATCTGTAATCCATATGTAGATTCCAAAAAAGGTCATTTTCAGAATTGCTGACTGTAGTGTGTAGGCCTTTCAAATACCAAATCACCTACTTAAGAATCAAAATGTTGACCTTACTGGGCTAACACTATAGGCTGTCAAAAGAAGACACTATTTAAAGAAATTGTGTTATAAAACTCAATATAACTTTCTTATTTTCACTGAGAGTTAAGCCTGAAGCCTGGAGAAAAGGGTCTATACATTATGCATTTCCTCATTACCTATTGAGAGAACACAGATTTGGGAGATGTAGGGAGCTATGACCAAAGATGTGTTATATTTAAAAGTAAGAAATTTCTTCATTTACAGGACTAGTCACTGTATACCAAGAAATATTTGTGCCCTGTGCTTGGAACAGCATCGCTTTAAGAACTTACTTTCTAGCAGGATGTGCTATATGCTTTGCAAGTTTGTGGATGGTTGTATGGGTAGAGACTGGAGAAAACTGAGAGCGTTCTTGGGAGAATAGGATTTTACTGGGGCTTTTAAAACATCAATTTTTGTTTTGTGTTAGCTGTTTGCGGTTTTTGAGAAGTGCCCGGGACCTTTCATGCATTGCTGCGCTGTAACATCAAGCAGGATTTTTGAAAGTTGTGTCTGATACATTCAAGGTGATGTACCCTGAAATCTAGAGAAATCACCTGAAGCCATGTTGAAACCACTGGTGATTATCTTTTCAACAATTAGTTGAAAAAGTGCATTTAGAAACCAGCTATCAATATTTGCAGTCAATTCAAGAATATATATGTGAAGTTTGCCGTGATTCCTACTGGGTCTTGTTTCATATATTATTTTCCTTAATGGTGGTGATGGAATATAACATTAAATTTGTGGATTTACGATGGCTAGAAGTAGTTTCAAACACTTTGAAAGACAGACCAATGACTTGAGTGATCTTGATGAATTGGAGGAGTTATCTGAAATCAGTAAGGTGAAAGTCAGGAAAGATGAGTGCAAAGGACTGTAGCAAATAAAAATCGGACAAACAAATTTGAAATTGAGAAATAATTCCTTAAATAGTGTTACTGTAGGGTTATCTGTGGAGTTATACTAGACCAACAGCTGAATACAAATCAGCAGTATGATCCTATTAAAAAGGCAAATTCCAATTTGGGGAGGTAATCATATGACTTTGATGAAGAAATACAATTATTTCTTTCTACATGAGGAAGCTTCAGTTGAAATTACTGGGTAACACAATTTTAGAAAAATTTAGATGAGTAGAATTCAGAATAGAGCATAAAAATTGTAGATGACTGAAGCAATTTGCTTTTTCTTTCTACTGGGGGAAGAAGACAGAGACGGTTGAGGAGGGACATGACAGTTTTCCAGGATGTAAAATGCTCTTATAACGATGATTAAAAGTTAATCAGAATCATTGGCTGAATGTGATCATAAATAACTGCAAGCCACATCAGGCTATATCTTGCACTGTGTTGCCTTTGGCAATGTGCAAACGGCTGGAGCAGGGGAAAGGTGAGGGGCTTGGGGAACTGCGCCAGCCCGCAGTGTGGGTCAAAGCCAGGGAAGTGCTGTGGAAAGGTGCTGTAGACCACCCAGGTTGTCATGTACTCCTTTTAATGGGTGGGAGAATTTATAGTATAAATCCCAATTACCTGCAGTGAGTGCATTTTCTAGCTTTTCAAGGTCACTTATAATATCAACGAAATTTGCAAGATTGTTTTGATAACCTTAGGCAGTGTCAGCTGTGGCTGTTTGGAGATTTCTTTAAGTCTCGATCGGATTGGAGCTCTGTTTGCAGTATTGCACCACCCGTGTTTTGGGTATCTCACAACTGCTCTCTGTCTAGAATGTAATCTAGCATTTCTTGCAGTAGTCCCTGGTGTACAAATCTCTCTTGCAGGTGGCATCTGTATTAGTTCAATGCTCTGTTCAAGGGGGGAAAAAAATCAACCTTTTTTCATAGCAAGGATTTTTATCTTTAAATTAGGACTTCATTTTTCTCTCAACCATCTTTTTCTCTTCCTTCTCCTCCTTTTTTTTTAATTGAACTTCAGTTATTTTTTCTCTATTTTGGTTTGGACAGAAGGTCTTTGTATTGTGCTTTGGCACTTAGTTTAATATAATTGGAGCACGGAGAAACTATTGTTTATTTAACCTGCAAATCAGTTACTGTGAGTACTGTGCCGTTGAAATGCCTGTGCCATGGAATACCAAAGCTGGTCATTTTCTGGGGTCAGACTGAGTCTTTGGAACTGACATGATAAGGAAATACAGGAATATTTTGTATTGGGGAAATAGGGTTTGCAAGTATTTTCCTGTCAATATGGTATTCAAGATTCATACAAAGGTAGAGCCACAAGGCACTCCAACTGCCTAATTGTCCCCTCTATGTTGTGACTAGGTAAATGTATCCAGGGTATCCTTGACAGATGTTTATCTAAACTCTTAAGCACCTTGTACAAGGTAGAATAATATCTGTTAATAGCTTATATGATAGATTGTCCTTATAGGAAGGTTTTCCTAGTACTTAATTTGCAAATCAAACTGGTTTTTTGTGATCCTAATATAGAAGGTAGAGGTGGCAAGTAATGCCACCTCTTTATAACCTTTTAAGCTTTGGAAGCTTGTTATTAGGTTCCTTCAGACCGCTTCCTCCTTCACACTAATTGCACCCAAGTTCTTTCAGGATTTTTTTTTCAGGATGATTTTTCTATCCTCCTTATTCTTTCTGTTTTCCAAAATGGAAAGAATGCTGGGTCTAATTGTAAAAACATGTGCTTTTAAGTTCCTAGAAGAGGAATATTCTTTTT